TTCAGGTCAGCTGTCTCTGTGGGTTTCTCCAGCCTGGTCTTGACCCCTTTGGTCGTCACTCCTCCCTCTCTGCAACTGGATTCCAGGAGTTTGGCTCAGTGTTTAGCTGTGGGTGTCTGCTTCTGTTTCCATCAGCTACTGGAGGAAGGCTCTAGGATGGCATATGAGGTAGTCATCAATCTCATTATAGGGGAAGGGCATTTAAGGCAGCCTCTCCACTATTGCTTAGATTGTTAGTTGGTTTCATCCTTGTAGGTCTCTGGACATTTCCCTAGTGCCAGATGTCTCTCTAAGCCTATAATGGCTCCCTCTATTATGGTATCTCTTTTCTTGCTCTCCTCTGTTCCTCCCCTGACTCAGTCTTCCTGCTCGGTCATGCCCGCCTCTTCCGTCCTCTTCCTCCTAACTCCCTCAAGCCCCCCATGCTCCCAATTTACTCAGGGGTAAATCTTGTCCCTTTCCCCTTCTCCAGGGGACCATGCATATCCCTCTTAGGGTCCTCCGTCTTTCCTAGCTTTTCTGACAGTGTGGATTATAGGCTGGTAATCCATTGCTCTATGTCTAAAAGCCATATATGAGTGAGTACAGTCCATGTTTGTCTTTTTGTGACTGGGTTGTCTCACTCAGGATGGTTTCTTCTAATTCCATCCATTTGCCTGCGAATTTCAAAATTCCACTTTTTTTTTCCTGCTGGGTATTACTCCATTGCGTGAATGTACCACACTTTCTTCATCCATTCTTCAGTTGAGGGGCATCTAGGTTGCTTCCAGGTTCTGGCTATTACAAATAGTGCTGTTACGAACATAATTGGGCTGGAGAGGTGGCTCAGCCATTAAAGGCTAGGCTCACAACCAGTGAATTTTTTTTAATAACCCCCCCTCACCCCCCGCCCACCCCACCCCCGCCCACCCCACCCCCCGCCCACCCCACCCCGCCCACCCCACCCCCGCCTACCCCCCCCCCCCGTGAAGTGACTCAAGTATCTCATACTCCTTATTCCACGTTGGTGCTGTATTAGCTCTGCTTCTATCATAGTGGTGTAAGAGAAACATTACATAAAAGGAAACAGAAGAGAGGAAGCGAGCAGTACAGCTAGAGGAAATTAAATCAGAATTCCCGAATCTGTCCCGAGTTCCTCCTTACTACACCCTCAGGAGCTTTTCTCTGCTAAACTTCAACGGGGGCCACACAATGTTTCACTATGTCTCTATCTGCTTTAGTCAATTTTTGATGCTATTGCTAAATGAATCTTATGAAGCCGATGCTTTCATAATTTTAATAGCAGTGTTGTTTGGAGGCTGAGGCATTTTGATTTCAACACATTCTTATATGAAACAAGCATTTGGGAATATCCCCATGGCCTGGCCAAGCAACTGTAGTGATTCTTCGACGTGTAGAGAATACAGTTAAATATTTTTGTCTACTTCTTGCATCTATAACTTGCCAATTAATGTAATTTCCTGCCCCAGTCACCAACTTGAGGGCTTTTTAGAAGAATTTTTCTCCACAATTTTTAGAAATGTTTCTTACACACAGCAAACTGTTGATATGCATGTATTAATTGAATCACTGACTATCTGAAGAAGGAACAAATTATATGTCAAACTGGTATGTAAGATATAGTTTCTTGAAGCAGCTGAGAAAAAAATCATTAATTTTAATACTAGTTAAAATAAATTATTTAGCAGTTGAATGAGAAATGGTCAACATTTTGCCCTTTGTATTGACTGTCTTTCTCTATCATCAGCTCACAAAATCTAATCTATATCATTTTGCTCTCTTTACATGTCTGTACCCTTAACAGTAATGGAAACACTTTTTCTGTGAGTTAAAAACAAAAGGCATAGTTACTAAAGGCAACATGTTGACCTTAGTTACCCAAATACATGCATGTCATGCACTCATCAGTTTCTTTTGTTCAGCAATCAATTATAGAGCATCTCCCGTGAGGTAGGCAATGCATTCAGCCGCTGTGAGACCCAAGGTACAAAGCTATCCAGAAAGGCACATGAAGTCTTAGAGGTGACCAAGACTCAATTATGCATGAAAGTTGACAAAGTAATACAAAGAAGCAATACAGAAAGTGAAGTCAAGGGGAGGGGGTGTGAGCCTCAACTTAAGCCAGCAAAGATGAGCAAAGGGATGAGCAAACATTTCCACTGTGAAAGAAGGAAGCCATTCCTTTGTGTTATAATTAGACGTATTTAATATGAGAGTCATTGAAAAGTGTGTGTTCTGTTGCCTTGGAACCTCAATAAGCCATGAAGAACACCATACATTCATGATCAAGTAATTATTGAACTGACAACAGCATCCATTTCCTATTTCTCTGTGCACACCTGAATTTGTCATCATTGTGATTATGTCTTCTCCATCTGGGTTTGACAAGCGGGGTGCCACTTTGAATAGTAGTCCTTCCCCTCACGGCATGGCAGGCTACTTAGCAGCATGTAAGACATTTTTCAGGGTTCCTGGATTCTTCCGAGAGCATGGTGAGAACTACACCTGTGTCCCCGGGAAAACTCAGACTTAATATGAATTGGCCCTGTATCCAGAGCAAGCCTCCATAAATGAAGTGAGGACTGAGCTGGAACTGACTTGAGCTCAAACTGTCTTCCGTGGAAAGTCAATGGGAAACATAGGGTTTCAGAAATGGAAGACAGGTGTGATGGGCAGTTTACCCTTCCCCTCCTTAATTTATAATCAGAGAAGTGTTAACGAGCAGGTTTTCTGTCTGCCCTTGTCCCAGAGCCGCACCAGCCCCAAATAACACACAGAGACGCTGTATTAGAGTTAAAGCTGTTGGCCTGTTTCTTTCTGATGCAGGTGATGTTGCCAGGAGCATTTGTGCCTCGCTGTCTATAAAAACCCTAAACCATTTTAAATGCCATATTCTGTAGGTCTTTGAAAAGTTTGAAGAATGCCTATTCATCTCAAATACATCTCTATATATCTAGAAATCCTAACTAACTATAATTTTTGACAATTATTGGTAACTACCTAAAATCTGTACTAAATTATACATTTTTAAAGTGAGCTATATAAACATAATACCTAAACAGGAGGAGAAATATACATATCAGAAAATTGACCTCAAATTTTTATCAATAAATGGAAATTTATTCCAAAACAAAGTATTCATATGTATACCATAATGCCCTTTTTACCTTTAAAAAGAGATTGGTTGTGATTTTTAACCATTTATAACCAACCCCATTTAAATGAAAGCAAACAGTTATAGACAATATTTGGGAATTTGGGCGTCGTTCTTTCCAAACTGCTTCCTGCTGGTAGGAGGCGCTGTCTTGGAATCCTAAGAAGAAGCAGAAATCCTGGCTGTAGTCTGCAAGGCTGCCTTGTCCCAGCTGTTTTGAATGTTGGATCACCTGGGATGGTGCTTCATGAGGTCTTGCTTGATCAAACCATGTTAGTCTGGAAGGAATCCATAGCTTTCCATTTTCTGTGGAAACAAAAATAGACATTATTTTTGTCAGTAACCTGTCCTTAGACTTAAATTTGAAGTCAAAGCACTTTTAAAATATATAAATTGGATTAATTTAGCAGCATTTATAATCAAGTATATTGTAGCAATTATTTCTTCCTTAGCAATTGAGCAATTTAAAGACAATATCATAGCCTAGAGTATCCAGACTCTCTGTATGCCCATCTTTACATGGCTTTTATATTAGTCTATTTTTTTAACTTTTTATTTTAATTTTTTGAGACAGGATTTCTCTGTGTAACTTTGTCTGCCCTGGAATTTATTCTGTACAGTAAGTTTATTTTGAAATCACAGATATCTGCTTACCTCTGCCTCCTGAGTGCTGGAATTAAAGGTGTGTGTCATCATACTCAGCTACTCATACACACCATTGAATTGCTAGCAGATTTTCTTAGAAGCCATGCGGATTTTTGCTGCTTATTCTGAGTCAGGAAACCTCCCTTAAAGAAGCCACGCAAATCTCTGCTTGTGTCTAGCAAAACAGAGCCCAACATAGAAAAATGCTGCTACCAAAAAGCCTTGCTTTTCTCTGTTCCTTTGTTTCTAAACTATTCAAGCTATTGTCAAGTTTTAAGTGCAAATTCTTGGGTCCACGTTGAGGCGCCATTTTTTTACGAGCAGTTTTCCACCCACCTGGTCCCACAGCTGTGTCAGCCCCAAATAACACGCAGAGACGCTGTATTAGATATAAAGCTGCTGGCCTGTTACTAGCGTTTCTTATTGGCTAGCTCTGTCTTAAATACTAACCCATTTCTATCAATCTAAGTATTTTCATGTGGTCTCATCTTACCGGAGAGAGGGTCTGGACCTCTGCTCTCTTGGTCCTACATGTTGAATCTCCTCCTACCTCTCTCCAAATCCTCCTTATCTCCTAGTCCCGCCTATCTTGCTTTCCTATTGGCCAACAGAGCTTTATTCATTAACCAATAAGAGAAACATATTTACAGAATGACATCTCCCATCAGAGTAGCAATGTCATGAGAGAAGATAAAGAAGAATCAGGTTTGGGTCTTGGCATTTTGGGTTCCGTGACCTTTATTTGTTTCCTTCTCTAGCAGGGCCAGATAACAACAGAAAAGTTTGATGTAAGGCTCAAATGGAAGTTAATGGGTGGAACCCTTCACATTTCAGATGGATGTTATACTTTTTAGATGTTCAATGTTTACACCGAATGTCACATTTTAAAAGCCATCAGTACTTTATTAGTGATTAACTTCTGAGTAAATGAATGAGTGAATGAATGATCCATTCCTCCCACCCAGCCCTGCTGACACTCAGCGGGGTAGGAAAGTCTCCATGAACATAGCATTGGCTCTCAGTCCCTAAAGTCTGGATAGGAACACAATCTCATGCATTTCGTCAGTGCAAACCCAGGCTATCACTCCTTTGCGCTTTTGGCCGTGGTACCCACCCACTCGACATTGCCGTAGATGCCAGAGACTCAGAATGGCAGTGTGAGTATTGCCAACCACTGACCCTCTCCTCCAATCTCTTCCAGGAATTTCTACTACATCACGATGTTGCGGGACCCAGTGTCACGTTACCTGAGTGAATGGAAACATGTCCAGAGAGGGGCCACATGGAAGACCTCTCTCCATATGTGTGATGGAAGGAGCCCCACCCCAGATGAGCTGCCTACCTGCTACTCAGGGGATGATTGGTCTGGGGTCAGCTTGCGGGAGTTCATGGATTGCAGCTACAACTTGGCCAACAACCGTCAGGTGCGCATGCTGGCTGACCTCAGCCTGGTGGGCTGCTACAACTTGACTTTCATGAATGAGAGCGAGCGCAGCGCCATTCTGCTGCAGAGCGCTAAGAACAACCTGAAGAACATGGCCTTTTTCGGGCTCACTGAATTCCAGAGGAAGACGCAGTTTCTCTTTGAGAGGACATTCAACCTGAAGTTCATCTCCCCTTTCACACAGTTCAACATCACACGGGCCTCCAACGTGGACATCAGTGAGGGAGCCCGTGAGCGCATCGAGGAGCTGAACTTCCTGGACGTGCAGCTCTATGAATATGCAAAAGATCTCTTCCAGCAGCGCTACCACCACACCAAGCAGCTGGAGCACCAGAGGGACCGCCAGAAGCGGCGTGAGGAGCGAAGGCTGCAGCGGGAACACAGAGCACATCGCTGGCCCAAAGAGCATGGGGCCGCAGAGGGGACTGTCACGGAGGACTACAACAGCCAGGTGGTCAGATGGTGATCCTCGCTCCGCCTGCCGCTGGCTTTTTCATGACCGGGCGATAAACGGGCTCCTTGTCCTTCTGTGGGATTGCCTTGCAGAAGCTGGGTCCTGCTGAGGGCCTCTGGCTGTGTGTGACTTAATTCCGTCCTCTGCTTCCTCCTCTTCGCCTTCATTTTCAATCCAACTGGAAATTTTCCATCTTTGTTTTTTCTTTTTCTTTTTTCTTTTCTTTTTTTTTTTCTTTTTTCTTTCCTTTTCTAAACAATTTCTGGTCGCTGATATAAGTGGGGGGGGGAGGGGGTAGAAATGGTACTCAGCAGGCTATTTTAGGGGGTCAGAAGAGAGGCCTCAGAAAGGAGACAGTGTGTAAGTGTGCAAGGGTTGTTTACCACTCGCGATGGGTCGCTTCTGGAGCCCCCAGAAGCGGAGCTGAAGGCGTCACATTGCACCCAACAGAACACTAGTTTGCTTACAGAAAGAGAGAAAGGCCCTCTGCCCTTAGATGACCATTCTCTCTCAGTGCCGAATTAGGGAAAGGCTCAAATGAGGTTTAAATCATGAGTAACATGGTTTGTCCCTGCCGATGTGTTTAAACAAATGTTAGCCTTAGCTAGATGCTCCTAGCCTGCAAACTCAGACATCAGAGCCCTAAGACACAGGTCATTTAGGGCACAGAGAGTGAACTCGAAGATGGGTGGGTTATGATCCTAAGAAATAAACACTGGTAGGACATTTTGGGGAGCACACTTATTTAGTAATGACTAAGGAGATCGCCCTGTGCCAGCGTTAATCCTCCAGGTACGGGAAGGAAAAAAAAATTATCGAGAGAATGAGAGCAAAGAAACCAGGAGAAAAACCTCCCTTTCTAAAGAAGCTTATTTGTTCCATTAAAAGCATGTCAGATTCTTGCCCTTGTGGAGCGAGCACCTTCTCAGCCAGGTTTGAAATTCTGCTGTCACAAAAGAAAAGACGTTTTCAAAAACCTGAATTACAGAACAGGAGCTGTCCAATGAGGACACACAATACATTCAGGAGATGCAGGGTGGTGCCCTGTCCGTGAGACAATTATATCAGGAGTTCAGAGGGACGCTGCACCTGGCATTTCCAATGTCTTTAAAGCTCTGTCTTCCCATGGTCATTACCTGTGGCTACAACCAGAAAACCAACCTACAGCGTGCAATGATGGTCCTAAACCATGCTACTTTGTCCCACGTTCCTTGGATTTTCCCCTTTCCAAGCCACAAAAAGTCACTTCTGTGGACAGGAATGGGAAGGAGTAGAAAGCCTTTGCCTCACACGCAGTTGTAAGATCAGAGTGGGTAGAAAGGCTTACAACGCCTTGATAAGATTGATCCTTCCAAGACGCCAAAGGCTTGAGACCCTGCCTGAAATGAGGCTGGAAACCCTACTTCACTGACATCCTACATGCTTCAAGTTTAAGCCAGCCATGTGTAAGCTACTTCTCAGCCTTCAGGCTGTTCTCTCCGGGGTTGAAAGGCAATGCTCTCCCAGTGTTTATGGAGTGCCTGGTGCGAGGGAGCCCAGCATCTTTTGTAGATTCCAGGGGAGAAACAGCTTTGATGTTTCTCTGGCTGTGGTTGGTATCTGGTGCACTGTAGGAAATGACGTCATTGGAGGTCATGCGTGTTCTAAGGGAAGCGCCATGCTAGACCATGAATACAGCCAGCATAACAGGGTGGATATTGCTAGTCCCCGGTACATACCTGAGAAGATGAAGCCCACAGATGAGATGAAGCTTCCTTGGGGATTGAGAGGTAGGCCTCGCTGGCTATAAAGCACAAGATTTCAATTCACAGCGCTTCCCGCATGGGCTAAATCTTCCTGCAAGTCACATAAGAAGCCAGATGTTATTACTCTGAAGTATTTGCTCCTGATGCACAGAGCTGTCATAAAGCGATAAGGCTGCGTTTGCAGTGGTCCTGAGCCCTTCTCCCTGAGCGTGAGTCTCCCCGCACCACACGCCCCACTGTCTCTCCCGTGAGCCGAGATATAGATGCCTTCTTCAGCAACCTTAATTTTTCAGTTATACACAAACGTGAATTGAAAGTGGAAAAATTAACTGTGGCTTTTTAATTGTGAGAGATGAGGCCCCTCAAATACCCACGTGTCTCTCCACGATGACTGGCTCTAGAGGAGAGAGGAGAAAGGGGTGGGAATGGGTGGAAAGAACACATTCAGTTGTCAAGATCTAATGCTCTGCCAGGAATAGAAACCTGAACATTGCGCCTCTGCCATCAGCTACAATGCACATGTCCATATGTGCAGCACACACACACACACACACACACACACACACACACACACACACCCCTCAGTATTTTCTCAAATGCAAAATCAACGCGGGCTACAAAGCACCACACCGATTCTTTTCAATTCACTTACACTCTTGGTAAGGAACACTTGGAAGCAGCTGTGCTACCTTCACACTGCTCCTCTGAGTCTGAGTTTATATCAAGAGGCTCTCTGCCACCGCTGCTGAGTGTACGATGTGTGGCCTTCCCTCCTCTTGAGACCCGGCATCAGGATGATGTGAGGAGAAACCACCTCTGTGTTGGCTCCAGGCCAGTGCTAAGTGGATCGGAGAGACTGGCATGTGCTTCCTCCCTCGTATAGCTCCATTCGGAAGCATCACGGTTCTCATTCCCCAGGGGCTTGCTCGTTAGAAATGGAGAGGTGGGATACGGTACATTCTCTGGAAGTTGAGGGCACATGTGCCATGCTGTGTGATGCTGAAGGAAGAGATGCCAGTGGCAGGCACAGGAAGGTAAAGATGCATGGGAACCCATCAGCCTTAAGGTCTCAAACCACATCAGCTCTAACTACAGACACAGAGGGAAAACGATGTCTAGGTAATTATACTTCCTGTGGACTCCTCCAATTCCCGCACAGGCATTTTCTCCCTTCTCTTGGCAGTAGAAGCACAACATAGTGGACTGGAGTATATGTGGTGCGTGCGTGCGTGCGTGCGTACGTGCGTGCGTGTGTGTGTGTGTGTGTGTGTGTGTGTGTGTGTCTATGTATGTCTGTGTGAGTGTATCTATATGTGCCTGTGTATGTCTGTGTGTGTCTGTGTGTGTCTGTGTGTGTTTGTGTGTCTATGTGTGTCTGTGTGTCTATATATGTCTGTGTGAGTGTGTCTATATGTGCCTGTGTATGTCTGTGTGTGTCTGTGTATGTCTATGTGTGTGTGTGTGTATGTCTTGTGAGTCTCTATTGACATTTTTCAGGGTGCATGTGGGGTCATATTTGCATATTGTGAGGTTCCATGTGTGTGGTTTGTCTGTCTCTGTTCACATTTTGTAGTGTGTGTGTGTGTGTGTGTGTGTGTGTGTGTGTATGTGTACATGTGTGTTGTGTAACACATATATTTTGTTTATGCTTTGGTATTGACTAAGACAGACACATATTTTTGTCTCCTTCTGACTTCCTGGAAGGCTAATCTTGATACTGGAGAAAATAATTGATAACCTTACCAACCAATGTAGACAACACTTAAGGAAAATTATGATACTGAAGAATACAAGGATGTGTTTCTGTATCAAAAGCCTCATCAAAAATTTGAGCTAAAAGTCTTCATTTGATCAAACCATTAACATAATGGTTTTAAAGTCTGGGTGGAGAGGGACTGATCCTCTCTTCTTGCTTTTTTAATTCTAAGACATAGCATCTACCTTCTGGCCCAAGGTGTCTGCCACAGCCACAGCGATCTTATTTGCACTTGAGGCAGTGGAGTGGAATTACAGGGGGTTGCAGATACTGCTTATAGCCGTGTCCCAGTGGCTGGAATCTAGACACTGGTCACATCCAGTTGCAGAGAAGACTAGAAATGTCTTCATTACTCAGTGCCGGGCATCTTGATAAGTGGGAGCTCTATTGTTAAAGAAAGGAAGTGAAGTTAATACTGATAGAAAACTATCTGGTCTCCAATAGAAAAGGAGATGGAAACCATCAAGTCCTTGTCAGTGTCATTCACGTTCTCATCTATTTTACAAAGGATGAGATTAAAGCTTACTCTGCCAGCATTTAATGCATTTCAGAGCATTTTTGTGTGGTGTCTCACTCGGCCTGCCTTACACGCTATGCACTGGCCGGCATTTCTGTGCACTACTACTGCATATGATCTTTCAGGGTGAAGACCAGAGATGTTGGAATATTCCCTCCAGTTCTCATTCATCTGTGAGGAAGTTGCTCAGAGCCCATGGTGTTTCGGCCTTGGAGCTTTTCCTCCTCCTCATGCCGCTTGGCATTAGTATTGGGACTGGGAATTGCAAGAATGTGAACTCTAAATCTTTATTGATTTCTGTCTTCCTGCAACTTGTTGTACAGCTTCAGTGACCTAGAAAATGCCATGGACAGGTCCAGTAGACTCTCAGTTCTGCCCCTACAGCGAAGGAGCCTCTTATTTCAATGAAACGCTCAGGTAGGGAATGGTACAAGGGAGTCCAAGAAAAGCTCATGAATTCAGGGGACACACTCAAACGCCTCTATCTGGATGCCTACCCCATTCCACCCTCAAACTATCCAACATGGAGACCGAGGCGATAAGCTTACTACCCCCAACGGGACACTCAGCATTTAAGAAATGAAGAATCAGTAGCTGCCCGTTAGGAAAGCTTAAGGGGCGATCAGTAGGACCTCTGCTCGTAAGATGCCTCCCTCTGTTTTCTTCCTCCCAAGGTCTCTGGTAGTTTTTATCAGCATATTGTTATAGTTCTTATATATTTTGTTTGGTAGTCACTGAGTTCCTTTGCCCATTGCCGGAGGATGAAATGATTTAAGCAGTAATAATCTATCCGATTCCTTCCCAGACATGTCGTGTGGCAGAGAAGAAGGTCAAAGTGAGACCACATCGCCATAGAGGACTACAGAGAGAAGGGCAGCAATAGAAGAAATAGGGCTCAGAGAGACAGACCACCCAGAGAAGGATGATGATCCAAATATGTGCCAGTCAATAACGGAATATAGAAACATGGTAAAGCATGGCTTTTGTCCTTAGGATAAAAGGCA